ACACACACTGGGGCCTTTCTAAGGGTGAAGGGCGGGAAGAGGGAGAGGATCAGGAAGAGTAACTCATAGGTACTAGGCTTCAGACCTGGGCAATGAAATAATCTGTACAGCCAACTCCTGTGACAGGAGTTTACCTATATAAGAAATCTACACTTGTATCCCTGAACTTAAAAAACAAAAAAGCCCGTTCTGCTGATACCAGAACAAGACTCCAATTCCATTGGGGCCACACGTCCCAAGCCACTGGGGAGCGTGAGATCCAGGAAACCCCCTGCATTGATGATGCGCCCCTGGGCTGGAGGGGCTTGTTTCAGGCAGGCTCCACAGTGTGGGCAGCGGGAGGAGTGCGGGCCTGGGGCGTCCGCAGAGCCTGGCCCTACTCCCGATTCTGTTGCTCACCTGCTTATACAAGATGTGTCTCCTGAGCGCCAGGACCCCTAGCTGTCCTGCATCTCAAGGAAGAGCCCCAAGTGAGCTGTCAAGTGTCGACTGAGGGCTGGGGAAGCTGAAGAGCATGGAGGTCCAAAAGAGTGACAGGACCCGGCCGGGCGCGGTGGCTCACGCCTATAATCCCAGCACTTTGGGAGGCCGAGGCGGGTGGATCACGAGGTCAAGAGATCGAGACCATCCTGGTCGACATGGTGAAACCCCGTCTCTACTAAAAATACAAAAAATTAGCTGGGCATGGTGGTGCGTGCCTGTAATCCCAGCTACCCAGGAGGCTGAGGCAGGAGAATTGCCTGAACCCAGGAGGCGGAGGTTGCGGTGAGCCGAGATCGCGCCATTGCACTCCAGCCTGGGTAACAAGAGTGAAACTCTGTCTCCAAAAAAAAAAAAAAAAAAAAGTGACAGGACCCAGGCCACTGATCCCACGCAAGGCAAAGGACAGGACCCTTTGCTCCTGGACACATTCTGGCTGATACAAGCAGAGTTTTAGGCCTGCCTGGCTGTCTCAGGCAGATGGATAGTGGGGACGGGAAAGGAGAGAGAGCAGGTGGGGAGTCCTCAGAGCTAGGCCGGCAGTGCAGGTGTGACAGCACTGCTTAAAGCATGGAAAGCGGGATAGGCCACATCTTCTGGCTGATTGGGTATTAAATGGGAAATGCTTACAAATAGCAAGGGATTTAAGAGCAGATTCTGGAGTCAGACAGCTGGGTTCAGATCCCAGCTGTGCTGCCCTCTAGCTACGTAGCAACTTTTCCTCTCTGGTGATGGTTTCCTTGTCTGTAATACAGGGGTAATAACAGCACCTATATCATGGAGTTGGTGCTAGAATTCTAAGAAATAAGAATTACTGGGCCAGGCATGGTGGCTCATGCCTGTAATCCCAGCGCTCTGGGAGGCTGAGGCCAGTGGATCCTCTTAAGTCAGGAGTTCAAGGCAGGCCTGGCCACCATGGTGAAATGCTGTTTCTACTAAAAATACAAAAATTAGCTGGGTGTGGTGGTGCACATCTGTAATCCCAGCTACTCAGGAGGCTGAGGCAGGAGAATGGCTTGAACCGGGGAAGTGGAGGTTGCAGCGAGCCAAGATTGTGTCACTACACTCAAGCCTGAGCAACAGAGTGAGACTCTTGTCTCAAAAAAAAAAAAAGAATTACAAAGAGCTCTTCATCCAGTAACTAATGTGTGGTAAGCATGTAATAACACCAATCATTGATTAGGAGAATATTTCTTTTTTTTTTTTTGAGATGGCATCTCACTCTGTCTTGCCCAGGCTGGGGTACGATGGCGCAACCTTGGCTCACTGCAGCCTCTACCTCCTAGGTTCAAGAAATTCTCCTGTCTCAGCCTCTCTAATAGCTGGGATACAGGCGTGCGCCACCACGTCCCACTAATTTTACATTTTTAGCAGAGACAGGGTTTCGCCATGTTGGCCAGGCTGGTTTCAAACTCCTGACCTCAGATGATCCACCCGCCTCAGCCTCCCAAAGTACTGGGATTACAGGTGTGAGCCACCATGCCTGGCCAATTTCTAAAAAGTATTAATCCTTCCCTTCCTTCCCCTACCCATAAAACAGACCAACCACCAACCAAAAACCCGACAGAATCTGTAGGCGCCAGGACCTTTAGGTCTTGAGTCTGGACTGGCATGCGTGTTTTCAGTACCTGTTTCTCATAGACAATCCCTACCTGGCTGATGAGGTTGTAAGTCCTGTAGGATTGGGAGCCAGGCAGCATTTTAGCCTGCAAACAGGACCTCCGCAGACTCCCAGAACTTCAGGTCTAACACACCTGTGCAGTCAGACACCTGATGTGCCAGGCTAACTGCTGGGTACACACGTGTGCCTGTATGCGCATGAGAGAGACAAGGATAATGCACAGTCCTTGCCCTTGAAGGGGTCACAGTTTAGCGAGGGAGGATCTTAAGTCAGCCTGTGACAATCTAATAATCCCATGCTCCCAAACCCACATGCGCTCTCACTTGACATCTCTCTCACCCCCACACACTCGGACGTGCACGCACAGCTCTCGTCTCCTCGGCTCCAGCCCTTTCCCTCTTTCTGGAAATGCTGGCTTGGTGTGGACCCCGCGTGGAGCACAGAGGTTTCAACCTTAAACAAAATGAAAGGCTGTTTGGTCCTGTGCCAGCCCCACGGGCCCCCTTCTCCACCCCCTGACCATTTTTATCAGACCCTCCTGATGGAAGGGCTGTGAAATCTCCCCTGGAGGGGACTGTGGGTCCCTGGACTGACCTTGTCCTGATGTGTTTGATCAGCTGTTTCTGGCCTGCGCTGGGGGAGCCAGAGCTAGAAGAATCGGCAGGAGTGGTGTTTGATCAGAGCAGCTGGGAGTGGTGGGGCCGGCTGGCTGCTCGCAGCCTTCTGCTAATCTCTTCTCAGAGGACAAAGAGAAGAGGATGCTCTGAGACCAGCCCATGGGTAACGGGGCAGAGCCTCACTGACAGGAGTAAGATGTGGATGTGGGGTTCTCCCTGAGCTGAGAAATGAGGGCAAGCAAGCGGGGTACGGCTTGGTTCTGGCAGAGCCTCTGTGTGTCCCACACAGCACCCCTGACTCTGAGAGAAACCAAGGCAGTCAATAGGATGTGGTCCCTGTCCTCAAGCTTGTGAGAATCTCAAATGAGATGAGGCTGTGTGAGGATTAAGGCACAAACTACCCAACTGCACACCTAGGGTTTCAATTGTGTAGTAGATAGATCTGGGAAATCGCAGAATGCGGATTTAGGGAGCGACAGGGAAAGCTGGGGAAGTTCTTTCTCCACGGTGGAGCTCAGGATTCTAGCAGCACACGCAACCCCAAGTGCTGCCTCCCTCTGCCTCACAAGGTTGCAGACATGAGGTGGATGGAGAGTAGACGGAATAATAGCGTGTTGCACGACTGGCTAGAAACAGCTCATACAGAACACGTGGCGCAGAGCTGCAGAATAGGAAGCAGCTTCTCTACCCCTCAAAAGAGCAAGCCCAAGGTCAGCGTCCCCGTCTCCAGCAGTCAGCAGCATCTGCCAAGCACCTGCTGGGTGCTGCCCGGTCTGAGTATGCCAAGGAGACAGAAGTGTCTCGGTGGGCATGGGACCTAGATTTGCCCTGGTGAAAGGCCAAAAGACGGCACAGATGCACGAAAAGCCGAGAACATGAACGTGGTTTTTACACCCACGTCCTTATGACCTCTTCACCTCTGAACGAAGAATAAAGACCCTGGTCTGGAACGCGTCTGCATGGTGCCACAAGCCCCTTTTCCTTTTTTTCACTCCAAACACATCCTGAGCATAAGCCCATGGACAGCAGGATAAACAATGAACACTAGAGGCAGAGACGCCGAAAGTCACTGTGGACTGTTTTTCCATTTGCTTTGCTCTCACTGGATGTGTCCCCACCCAACACGCCCAGGTCTCTGCTTTACCCAGATGTGACCCCTCTTGCTGTGGTGCCAAAAAGCTGAGCCCCAGTTCCAACCTGGGGAGATCCTGCTTCCGTCTTATCACTGTTCACTCTGGCCTGGGATGGGGTCTCTGGGTTTATTTTAGTGCAGCCCCTGAATGCCTCCTCTTACCCTGGCTTTGGAGAGCCCTGCACTGGGCTCCAGGCCCTGTATCGAGGATACATGAGGTACCTCCCTTCCAGCTCTCCTCTGCCTCTCTTCCTCCGGGCCTTCTAAAATATTATAAACACGAACAGCCATTATCTACGAAGCGTCTATACTCGCCAGATATTTTACAAATGTTAACTTTCTCCTCACAGTCACCGTCAGGGAAAACTCCTCCAAGGTCATCTGTCTAGTAAGACGTGGAGCTGGGAAGCTCCCAAGCCCATGTCCTTCCCACTGTGCTGCTGAGCTCCTTCCAGCCGGCCACCCTGGCCCAGGGATCACCGAGGGAACGCCTCGGTCATGTCCTACCTCTGCGTAATCTCACCTGACCTGCAGCAGCATTTCACCTCTGCATACCTTCAACTTCATGTCTGGGGCTCAAGTGTATGTCACAATGACCCACTGCAGCTGGCTGGGGCACTCTCGGGACTACTGCCCAAAATACGATGCAGGCAGCTCCAGCCCTGCTCTTAGCACTTAGGCAGGGGAGCGTTCCTTCCTACAGATACTTGTGGGCTCTGAACAAGGGTGTGTCTGTGCTTCCCCAGGACTGTCCCAGGAGGAGTGAGCACAGAACCCCCCTCCCCACCGCCCACTCCTGGCTCTCTGCAGCGTCAGGGCTTCGGGATCTGATGCACCTCCCCTGCTCTTCAACACTGGATGCTTCCTGCAGAAATCATGTACATCCCATCCGGGTCTCCTACTCTTGTTTCCTTGTTGGTTGCCAGCAATGTGACATTTTCAGCTGTTCACCGAGAAAGGTTTAGTTTATTTTACAGCTATCTGCTCAGCACTTTGTACTCTGGGGGCAGTTGAGATTCAAGAGATAAATGAAAAGTGGTGGGTGTTATAAGGATCCCCTGAGGATTCAGAGAGGAAGAAGAGAGACTACACAAAGACACAGGAACGAACATTCTCTTTAGTGCTGGAGAAGGCAGGGAATAGCTGACTCGTATGCCAAAAACTTTTATTAATAAAAGCTAAAATTTTCTACAGTAAATACATTAAATCCAGACTTTTAATTCATACTACAATTCTGTAGGGCAAGCACAATCATTTCCCCCATTTTATAATAAAGTTAAGAGCCAGGAGGAGGGTGCTCAGAGAGGGGAAGCATCTCACAGTGTCGTACAGTTAGACAGCGGGATAGTGCGACGTACCAGGCTGGACACCAAAGCCTGTGCTCTGAAACCCTGCCCCACACTCGCTCCCTGGGAAGGAGGGTTTAGGAAATGAGGCTTCACGGGAAGGGAGAGCTTTCTTCCCCCAGGCCATGTTAACACGGCCTGAAGGTACACAAACGGCCACTAGGACACCAGACCTATTGAGCCTGTCCCCGTCTGATACTGGCCCAGAAGGAAAGAGAAAGCAGGTCTGTAACATCACAGTCCATTTGAGATGCATGTGGCCTAATTTTTTTCAAAGTACATATTTTATTTATATAGATTAGTGCAAGTTGAACATGAATATGGTTTGTAATCTAATTTATACAGCATCACGTAGGGGCTGGCTGTGCTGGCCATGGGTGGGAAGCAGGGCTGACTGGCCTTGGTAAAGGAAATGACAAACCTTCCCCCAATTTGGAAGCAATCTTAATTAGCCAGGGAGTGATTTTTTTTTCCTTCAACAGTGTAGTCCCCAAAGTACAGACAGCTTCTTTCTCCCTTATAGGCCGAGTCGTAGGAGTAGCAAGTTTCTAAATATTGGCTGTGCTTCTGAGCTTTTGGCCTAAATCCCACCAGCCCCAAAGTTTCCGTGACAACAAGACAAGGATCAGCTTGCCTCTGACACCCCCTTCAGCCCCAAATGGTTCTCTTACTCCCATGTTCTTCCTACCTCCTGAGGATCACTGGGATATAAGCAGGACAGGGCTGGGTGTGAACTCGCCCTCAGGGAGGACTCATTACAGCATCCCTGCGTTTTCTCCATCACCGTCCAACTGTCTAGGCCCAATTTAATACCATGCTGCTTGCCTCTCCGGAACTGCCTGCCCACTCGTGTATGGTTAGTAATTCCCTCCCTCCCTCGGTCATGTACGGCGTCCAGGCACGTGAGGTTTGAAGGCACACCTGCCACCCCATTAGCCTGTCTGCAGCTGGTGGTGACCATGTTCCCAGCCCCTGGGTGACACAGGAACTCTCAGGGCCCTCTCTCACCATTCTCTTTCCTTTCTGGGAGTCCCATCTGATTGATCCTGCAAATAAAGAGCAGGGACCTGTCTCCCCATTCACTGTCTGTCTGACTGGATTTCATTTCATTCCCCAGCCCCGATTATCAGAGCTCTAGCCTGAGGGATGAAGCTGATGTGCTTCCCGTGGTCGGTGGGAAGTCAGAAAGCTTCCTCAGCGGCAACCCAGATCGTCAGGGAAACCTGGTATGCACAGCGCAGAGTCTGCTACTCACGGGGCTCAGTTTCCCAAACACAAAGCTCCTGAGACAGAAGAGACACACTACATAAAGTAAATGAGTAAAGACCCCTGTCCCTGCCCCTCTGGTTCCAGGATCTGCTCATGCTTGTGGACAGCAGGGGTCTCACCTTCCTGCACGAATCCCTACTCTTGAATCACCTATTTGCTGTCTCACTTACCTGTGATGGGCAAGTCCTGTTCCATACGGACCCCAGTATTCCACAGAATCACACTCTGGCCTGGAATCTGACTGCCTTTCCCTCCTCACCAGCCGGGCCATCAGCTCTGGGAGCAGAGGTCTGGGGACCCACCAAACAAATCCATGTGTTCCAAGAAGCCCACAGACTCCCTCACACCATCCCGAAAGCCCCAGAGTCCAGCCCAGAGGCCACAAGAACAGCACCCCATGGGGGATGAGGCAAATATAACACCGGGACCCCATGGAAGCAAGTGATGTGGGCTCAGGAGCCCACACACGCACTGTCCTCTGCGGCAGCAATCCAGGTCTCTGGGGTAGAAGCAGGAGAAAAGGGTAAAATGGCCAAGCAGAGTTGGAAAGCTGTCCTACAATCAGATCGATGCCTGGGCTTCTCTGGAGAACAAGACTACATTATCAGTCAGCCAGTGCAGAGCCCACCAAGAGCAGACAATAAACTTGGGAAGGGCCTGTCCCTCTTTCTTGACGAGAACCAGCACTGGGTTTGTGCCTTCTGCCAAGTGTGCCATGGACCAGAGGGCGTCCGACGGGCCCTGGCAGCCAGTCCAACTTCTCTGTTCACTCTCCGCACAGTAAGCTGCAAATCTGGTGATTCCGAGGAGAACAAATGTCTTGTCACAATCTGGGTCCCCAGCAGAAACCTGGCCAGGCACAGTGGCTCATGTCTGTAATCCCAGCATCCTGGGAGGCCCAGGCGGGAGAACTGCTTGAGCTCAGGAGTTTGAAACCAACCTGGGCAACATGGCTCTACCAAAAAAAAAAAGATACAAAAATTGGCCAGTGGTGGTGGTCACGCCTGTGGTCCTAGCTACTTAGGAAGCTGTGGCAGGAGGATCGCTTGAGCCCACAGAGGTGGCACTGAGCCAAGATCATGCCACTGTATTCCGGCCTGGGAGACAGAGCGAGACAGAGCAAGACCCAGTCTCCCCAACAAAAATAACCCTGAGAAAGGGTTTCTTAGTGCTGGAAAGGACCTGACACTTGAATTCAAAACTTACAGCCCTCTTTTTTCTGAAGAGTATTTTTTTTTTTTAATCACTTTTCCCTATAAGCCCTCAGCAATTATTTCTTGTTTTGCTGTGGAAGAAATTTTAGTGACATTCATCGCAGCTCCTAAGCCCCATCCCATAGCTTGTGAGAGGTTACATTCTCATCCACTGGGCTTGGCACCAATGCCCTGTAAGCATGTGCCACTCTACTACCATCTTTCAGTGGGTTTTCTCTGGTGCCAAGGAGAGATCCAGTGCCATTTCGCCACTTGCAGAGCAAGAGCTCTCCCGATCTGACAGTTCCCAGGACTGAAAAGCCTTAAGCCAGGGACAGCCTTGGTAGAAGCAGTGAGCCCTTCACGTGGCGATGAAGTCTTAAAGGTTTGAGCACCATCTTCTGGTCAGTTTTTGGCTTCTGAGGCCAACTCACCTTTAGAAACTTCATTTATTTCAGAACGGCAGAGCCCTAATTGACAAGATCAAGTGATCTGCATATCAAAATGTGGACAGGACCAGAGACAGATGTAGTTGGCTGGGCTGAGCTGTCCCAGGCTGGCCGGAGCTGGCGCTCGCAGAGGGAACCATCGGGCCTGCCTGCACAAAGCCAGCAGATGCCAGCCAGTGAGCGTGCTGGTCAGTAAGGCTCTGCCTTCTGCACTTCAAGCAGTGTGAGACCTGACCACGTGGGAGCAACACAAGCTCCCATGGTGACCAAACACTGAGCCCTGCCTCTGTACATGGCAGTGCGAGATGTGCCTGGAAGGAAGTGGTGGCCCCATCTCTGCCAGTGTGGGATCCAAATGGGCACTCCCCTCCACAGGGGGTCAAGCCACACAAGGTGGCAGAGAGCCCTGACTGGTGTGTAAACACCGCACCGGCGAACTCCAACCTTTTGGCATGGAAGGAAAAGAAGATAAATGCTAGTCATTCTCTCCAAACGGCAGGAACCTGCATCTATCTAATTGCACTTCATAATGGATTCCACAAACCATTAATTATCAGATTATATTTAGGAACTGAAGATAAAAAAGATTTGTGAAATTCAGACTGCAAAGGATCACTGACCTGCAGTAAGTGTGGCGGCCTGGGGGAGGTCAGGCAGCAGGCCACTCCCATGGCCGGGAGCAGGCGGGAGCAGAGCCATGGGCGGTCGTGGCTGCTCCTCCACACGCAGACAGGACTGCCTGCCTGGTGCTGGTCACGGTCTGCATCACGTGACCCAGAGGGAGCGAGGCTGCCAGGTCAGGCAGAGGTTTCAGCCTTTGGTTAGAGGAAGGGGATCAGGATGACAAGGAAGAGCTGTAGGAACCAGCCTTCAGGAAAGGAATACCAAGAAGAATGTCCTGGAGAGGCAGAGACTGTCTAGCAGCCGGATGCCTCACATTAAATTAAAAGTTTCCAGCAGAAACTCCACAGCTTTGTCTTGGGAAGGACTGACAACGGACAAGGGGTTACCAGGCATGGAAATGAGGGCTACCTGTCCTACAGCCATCAGGAGGGTGCAGGGCGTGGCCACTGGTGCCGGGGGACCCCAGCAGAGGGTAGGATGACAAGACTGAGGAAGGGATCAAGTGTGCTCAAGGCTAAGGTCCCTGAACAGCCCGTTAGTGCCCCTCTCACTTTAAATGGCCAGAGACACTGGCAAAATGCGCAACCCCCTGTGTGGGCCGAGTCCCATATCTAACCACCATTCTGCCCTGACAGGTGCCGGCACATCGCACCTCCTGGGGTACCTTGGTCACCAGCTCCCATCCCACTGGTCTTTCAGATTCTGCTTCAGAAAGAAGCCACATGTCACTCGGGGATGGACAGTGTCACAGAGGCTGCAGCAGCAGGCCTGTGGGGAAGGAGGCCTGTCTGCTACAGAGGATGGTGCTGTTGGTGTTGAGGGCTCAGAGGCTGTCGATTCTATGGAAACAATGAAGCTTCTGTCTGTTTTCCAGGTGAGACCTGTTGGCTGGTGCTAAGACGCTCACCACTCACGACCACCAGGGATGGAGGGCAAAAAAGGGCAAACCGTGGGGCCGCCTCTCTGCTGCCGATGCAGAAAGGCTCTGCGGATGACCAGCCACTCACTTGGCCTCACCACAGATCAGCGTCACGGTGCCATCCAGCAAATCCTCCACAGTCACCGCCACGAGCTCAGAGCTGGCCTGAGATGCCTGGGAATCTGGCAACGTCACAAACACCTGCGAGCCGGCAAGCTGGGTCTCCTCCAAAGTGATCACCTGCTCTGTTGAGGCCACCGGCTCTGGGGCTTGGATCACCTGAAAGGGAAAGACCATGAGGCTGCTCTGGGCAGTGCTCGCAGTGAGCTCCCTGATTTACATGGTTTTCATCTCGTGCTGTAATGATGATGTTTATGTTTTCACCTGAGGAGAGCAATTACGTGTGCCTAATGGGAAGAGGCAAGTCTAACCCACCGGCGATGCAGAAGAGAAGGCCGCAAACAATTTAAATAACTGTGCACTAAATTGCTATAATTTCCCTCAGTACGCCGTCTCGGGGTGCCCGGACCCTATGATTACACACCAGTGAACACCGGCTCTGTTTCTCACACTGGGTTTTCCTGTCTTGGGATGACACTGCAGAGGCGAGTGCTATGTGAGAGGAATGCTACTGAAGTCAGTTGGTCTCACGCCTGAAACATGGAAGCGGGACTGATGCACCACAGGCCAGGGCAGCATCTCTGGACCTCTCTCAGGCTGACAGCCTTCCCAGGAGGCCACACAGTGACGGAGCTTAGGAGGAAGAAGAGTGGATGAACTGTGACTCCACTCGTTCATTCAGCTCACTAGCCTGGCAGGCCAAGTGCCCCCTTCTGTCCTCCTCAGGGTACATATGTCCCTTCCGAATCCATGTCATCTGTTGGAGATGGCCTTTCCAGCTCAGGAGAGCTAGGCTGTGGTTAGGCATACCCAGTTCCTACCTAAGTCTCCAAGTTGGTGTTTCTGACTCGTAGACCCCAGAAGAGCTATATGTCCTTGGTATTTTTAAAGCAGAGGCCACAGCCACCTTGCTCTTGAGAATGAGCCGAGAGCAGGCACAAGTGAGGAAGCCAAGCTCAGCTACTTCTCTGGGCAACAGGGGAGAAGAGACCGACTGTGGTGTTCAATCAGCAATGGTCTAGGATAGTAGGTTTCAGACTATTTCTCTTGCCAGGAGCGGTGGCTCACACCTGTAATCCCAGCACTTTGGGAGGCCAAGGCGGGTGGATCACCTGATGTCGGAAGTTCAAGACCAGCCTGACCAGCATGGAGAAACCCTGTCTCTACTAAAAATACAAAGTTAGCTGGGTGTGGTGGCATATGCCTGTAATCCCAGCTACTAGGGAGGTTGAGGCAGGAGAATTGCCTGAACCCGGGAGCCGGAGGTTGCAGTGAGCCAAGATTGTGCCATTGCACTCCAGACTGGGCAACAAGAGCAAAACTCAGTCTCAAAAAGAAAAAAAAAAAAAAAGGAACAAAAAACTGCTTTTCTTTCCTTTTCTTTTAGAAAGGGACCCTCCACCCCTGCCTTTTCCCCAAAGGACATACTCCCAAGAACCATAATATATAAAAAAGATAATGCAGAGCATCTCTGGGTTGATATGACAGTAGAGGCTGGCAGTAGTCCTGCCTACCTGACTTCTCCTCTGTTCCCCAGAGGCCTGTAAGAATTTGGTTTGTAAATAAATGACTGATCTATGGAACTGTGCAGCGGGACAGTCTAACAGACCAAAACTTCAACAGTTTATGGTTCTCCCACCCACCCACAAATTACTGACGATGGCTAGACCTGAGTTTATTTTCCTTTTCTGCCCACCCTCTCTGGAGAAGATGGGAAGAAGAGTAAGAGGATCAGGGAAGCAAAGAGCCCTGAAACATCAAGAAGAGGTGGGATTTTTGCCCAGGTAACGGTGAGAGGTCCAGATGTGTGCAGAGGTGCACTGTGTCGAGCCCGGGGAGCTCTCCAAGTGCTTCAACTGCCCACAAAGAGAAAGAGCTCTTCTTTCTCCAAGGCTTCCCGCAACTCTGACCACACCCCGCCGTGTTTCTCAGAAGGCAGGGGAGGTGTGCACTGGGAGGAGGAAACACGCTGTTCCTCTTTTGGCAATTCTTGTTCCAGGCTCCCTCTACCTAAGGGCCACTTCGCATGTGGCCATCAGAAGACTAGAATTTTCTGTTCTGTTTTGTAAGAGATCCAGAGAGAATCTCTACAAGATCCCCAAGGAGTATCGCTGGGTGCTGTGACAGAGCCACCTCTGGAGAAGCCTTAGGAACCCCATGTTAGCATTCTGTGTGGCCAACAGCCCCGGAATCACCTGTACCATCTGTGAGGCTGCTGCTTGGGTTTCGGTGCTCATCACCTTTGGGTGCTCAGATTCCAGGTGACTGTCGAGCTGGGGCTGGGAGGTGAAGAGTTCCCCACAGAGCTCACAGGGGAAGGTGCTCTCTGACTGCTTGAAGTGCTCCGTGGTGACATGGTGCTGCAGTGCTCCAGGAAAACGGAAAGTAGCCGCACAGTACAAGCACCGGAATGGCTGGGACCCTGGAGGAGAGGGAGACAGAAGGGGCGGGCTGTGGGTAAAATGACAGAAGCGAGGGCAGGAAGACACGAGAGGAAGGAGCAATGAGACAGATCCAGGTTTTGTGGGACCCGAAGGTTGTTCAATTTGGGGTGCCTTAAGGAAAATAATACAAAATGAAAGAGACGGAACAGAGTCTTGGAAGAGTCCCATGCAAGTGAGGGGCCCTGAGACGACACTTTCATTAGTATTAGATTCAGGCTAAATCTGTCTCTGCAGAAGCGCGTTATTCATTCAGCTGCAGATAATGATGCTGACAATACTGTATTTCATCAGTTCTAAGAAATACATTTTAACATCTCTGAAATAGGATCGATGGCACCCTAGGACTGCTGTGGGCTAAGGCAGTCAGGTGCAATTGTCAACACCCACACGAACATCAAAAGTGGCAGCATCAAGACTTGCAGGATGAGTGTCCACAGCTTAGAAGAAACTCTCTAAGACAGGAATGGTGCATGTTTTTAACTCATGGAAACCAAATGGTTTAGAAGGGACGAGGTCAGTGATGAAAGGTTAGCTGTATTCCCAAAGCAGGAATCAAAAGTAGACTAGTTTCACATAAGGCTCAAGAGACGAAAACCAAAGGCCTTCAATTCTCTGATGGAATCTTATACTCTGTTCCATCGTCAACGTTCTTGATGGCAGAGTTAACACTGGATGGAAAACGTGCTTGCTGACGATCAGAACTGAACGTCGCTCTGAGAAGCTGGATTCTTCCCTTAATCAATTAATTTTTTTGTTTTCCTTCTTATGTATGCACACTAGAGTGAGTGACATGATAAAAATCTATATCAAATTAAGTCCAAAATAGCACTTAGAATAACGTACAAATTCTAAGTGATAAGAAAGCACACTTTAACTGGCAGTAGTTTTTCTTTCTTAATAGTTCATTAAAAATGGTACATCTTGGCTGGGCGCAGTGGCTCACGCCTGTAATCTCAGCACTTTGGGAGGCCAAGGTGGGTGGATCACCTGAGGTCGGGAGTTCAAGACCAGCCTGACAGACATGGAGAAATCCCGTCTCTACCAAAAATACATTAGCCAGGTGTGGTGGCACGTGCCTGTAATCCCAGCTACTCGGGAGGCTGAGGCAGGAGAACTGCTTGAACCTGGGAGGTAGAGGTTGCAGTGAACCAAGATCAGCATCACCGCACTCCAGCCTGGGCGACAAGAGTGAAACTCCATCTCAAAAAAAAAAAAACAAAAGGTACATCTTATTTAGTCGGGCGTGGTGGCAGGTGCCTGTAATCTCAGCTACTTGGGAAGCTGAAGCAGGGAGAATTGCTTGAACCTAGGAGACGGAAGTTGCAGTGAGCCGAGATTGCACCACTGCACTCCAGGCTGGATGACAGAGTGAGATTGTCTAAAAAAAAAATAAGTAGGGCCGGGCGCGGTGGCTCAAGCCTGTAATCCCAGCACTGTGGGAGGCCGAGGCGGGTGGATCACGAGGTCAAGAGATCGAGACCATCCTGGTCAACATGGTGAAACCCCGTCTCTACTAAAAATACAAAAAATTAGCTGGGCATGGTGGCGCGTGCCTGTAATCCCAGCGACTCAGGAGGCTGAGGCAGGAGAATTGCCTGAACCCAGGAGGCAGAGGTTGCGGTGAGCCGAGATCGCGCCATTGCACTCCAGCCTGGGTAACAAGAGCGAAACTCCATCTCAAAAAAATAAAAATAAAAAAAAATAAGTAAAAAATAAAAATAGCACATCTTATAACTGGAATTGTATTTATTTTTAACTGGCACTTTAGATTGGGTGAAATATAGCGGTCACAATGACAATCACAGTTACTGCTTAAGGAATGCTTACTGATGCCAAGGACTTCAGTGTTCACACTACTCCATGAGGCAGGCGCTACCACTGTTCCCATTTTACAGATGAAGAAACGGAGGCACAAGTTTGTTAAGTGATTTAGCCTGGGTTGCAAGGCTGCCGGTGGTGGAGAGGAGACTCAGGCCCTGACGGTCTAGCCTAGAAACATGCGGGCAGCAGTACTGACCTGAATGCTGACACTTGACGTGCACCTGCAGCAAGGCCGGCGTGGGGAAGAGCTCCTTACACTGGTCACATTCATGGAACTTCATGTCTGTGAAGTGTGGAAGGAAAGAAGTGGTGGGGAAGAACAAACGGTTGGCTCTCCGAGGCTGAAGAGTAACAGGACTGGGGTTGGGGCGATGGCCAATACTTAGCAAGCATCTCCCCAGTGCCAGGAATCTTATAACCTATGGTATATTTGTACGATCTAGTGGTAAAGAACGTGAGATCTGGATCCAGACTGCCTGGATGCTTAGAGGATTACTGTGACAATGAAATGAGAAAATATAAACGAGGTGCTTAGCATGATGTCTTGCACATAGGAAATGCTCTGTAGCTGACAGCTGTTGTGATTATCACCATATTTACCTGTAAAGTAGGTTTTAATAAGTGCCATTCTGGAGAGAAGGAAACAGGCTCAGAAAAGAGAAGTCACTTGCCAAGGTCATGCAGCTGATAAGTGCTGGAATCAGGATTTCCACTCAGGCCCGCCTACCACAAGGCTGACAACCTTCCCAAGTGCTGTGACAAGTTCTCACTCACTCAGGGGTGGTGGGAGCTTATACTGCTCTACGCTTCCAGGTTTGAGAACCACTGCCACTCAAGCTGCTGCTACTGATGGACTAGAGTGGCAGCCTTCAGGTGTGCTGGGGCAGAACAAAGGTAATTACCACTGCACACCACACTAGCCTACTAGAAGTCAGGGTTTCTGGTGGAACCCAGGAGGCTGCACTATCAACCCCTCCCACTCTCAGCCGGCAGTGTCCAAACTTCACCTGCATGCTCTGCTTTGATGTGCTTCTTGTGCTCTATGGTGTTGGGGAAGGTTTTGTCACAGGAGCTGCACTGGAGTGATGAGAACTTGGAAGATCGGTGGTTCTGAGCAGCAAACACGTCAGGGTGGTGGGTCCGATTGTGGTACCACAAGCCAGACAATTGCTGCATGGAATTTGGCAAGTGTTAGGTCTTAGAAAGTTCCAGCAAGCTGGAGAGCTCAAGAGGCTCTCATGAGAGGGAGAAATACATTTTTGGGTAAGCTTATGTTTCTAGTATCACACACTCTTACCTATCACACAGGGTACTGATGTGAGGAAAGGCTGGTATTTCTGAGAACAAGGCAACTATGTATTCACTGAGAGGCCACTACAGGGCAGGGCTCCAGGGAGTCCTTCACACACTCATTCCTTACAACAAGCCTATGAGGGAGGTGTTAGGGTCTTCCTAGTGAGTGGAAGCGGAGGCACAGAGGGTCTGAATGACTAATCATAGCATCAGTAGATAGCAGGACCAGGATTCGGGCCCAGGCCTTCCAACTCTAACACCTGTGTGCTTCACCACCGAGCGGCACCTCACAGCTTCCCAGGGAGCTGGGGCGCAGCAGGGCAAGCTGCTGGAGAAGAGCATGCAGCCCTGGTCCCCGCTTTCCCTACAATTCCATGCCATCCTAGAGCTCAGGCCCAGGTCTCCATTCTGGAATGCTAATGTTACAACATGAGCCTTGGCACAAAGTTAGCTCTCAGTTTTTGCTGAGCTAAAATGAACAGTTATGCTTCTTTTTCTGTACCCAAAGCTTATAGATACCAAAAGGACCATTCTTTTCTCTATAGTTTCAAAGCTTCTGATAGATATAGTTTTTTAGTTCTATGTGGGGCTTCACTTTAATTATACACAAAATCCTAAGGTAAAAAGGCTGAGCCCTTCCCTGGGAGTTAAACAAACACTAACTGTGCCAAACAAGGTAATTCCAGGTAGTGTTCCACTCCCCATTGCCACTCACGCCCACTGACACGTGGGAGCAGTGGGTTCCATGGACGGTGAGCGTCCAAGGGGAAAAGCAGCATTCTCTTCACGACAAGTCTGCTGTCTAAGAGATGCAGCATATGAACTCTCTGCTCCAATAATGAGCTCCCCCACTGTAGCACTCTGACCAGATCTCCTTACAGAATCTGAACCACAAGCTGCATCCTTCATGAGAATCAGCCAATTGTCACAACCTGGATACAAGATACGATCTGTAAGCCACCAAGCCAGGAATCAGAGAAGATCAAATGGAGAGTGGGCCAGGGATTAGGGAAGAGCTCCCAGTGGCACCGGAGGTCACCTGGTAGGCCTTGTTGCAGATCCCGCAGCTGAAGGGCTTCCCTCCAACATGGGTCACCATGTGGCGCTCCAGCATGGAAGGGGCGCTGAAGATCTTCCCACACGTGGGGCAGGGATGGTACTCTTTGGAGTGCACCTCATGGATGTGCTTCCGGTGATCCTGAAGAGTGGGGAAACTCATCCTGCACTTCTTGCAGTCGTAAGGGTCTTCTATGTCTGGTTTCATGGAATATCCATGAGAGGACGAAGTGGAGAGGAAAAGAAAACACCAGAGGCAGCCATCAGTGAAACACTGGTTGTTGTGCACAGCAACAGATGTGAAGACTCTGTTCAGATAACAGGCAGAGCCATAGACTCCAGGGATCAGAAATCAGTGTGGCAGTCACCTGCCACCCCTTCCTTCATCCCAGGAGGTGGGATTCCTCCGGGGTTTCGAGACTCACCTCCATTCCTCATTTTACATCTTACAAGTTAAATTACACTTTACCCCCTTCCAGGGAGTTTCACCCTGGCTCGTCCTGTTTGCAGTGGGCATTCTGGAGTTTTCTAATTCTCTGTAGAGACTCCCAGCACACTCCCCAGAGCATCACTGATTCCTCTGTCATCAACAGCACAAGTGGAGGGATGTTTCCCTTTTCCCAACTTCAGATTCAACAATAAAAACATTAGCATAATCAAGCAGGTTCTGAGTGCTGTATGTAAATTCACTCAATTCTTCCAGTAACTCTGAGTAGGTTCTATTATCATCCCTATTTTACAGATGAGGAAAATCAAGGTTTAGAGTGGTGAGGTGCTATCTTGCCCATGAGCACAAGTAAGAAACAGCTGAACTGAGAAACAATCCCATCTCTCACTCTCAAATCCATGCTCTGAGAGCTACATGCTTAACTGAATATGCCAACTCTTCAGTGAGACCCCCAAAACAAAAACTAGAAGTGATGAAGAATACATTTGCCATCCTATGGCAGAAAACGTTCGTCTTTTTCTTAAAGCAACAGAACTCACAATGTTTTAATAAAATCCCTTGCTCACAAGCCAATCTTTTATGTGCATTGATTTAGATTAATTCAAGAATTCTGACATGCAGCAGCATTCGGTGTCACTAACTAGTTTCCCTGTGGACATGTGCTCTTGAAGTCTCAGTTTTACACCATCTTCTACGACACTTTGATGCAGCTTTCCATAAGCAGCAGTGTGGTTCTATGAAACAGGCAAGAAGTGGGAGCGAGAAGGGCCTAGATGTGAGGCCAGCCATGGATGATGCAGTTTAGGGTATGACAAAGGATTCTGGGTCCTTGCCCTTCTGAAAGTTAATAATGCCTTCCCCTTTCCTGATGCCCACATAATGCCACTGGGAAAGGAAGACTAAAGCAGAATGTCATTAAAGAGGTCAAGAGGACATCAAAATTGTGGCACTGGATCCAAGCCAAATCTCTCATCTGGAAGCCTATTGTAACTGGATTTTTGGACAGCCTTGTAAACTCTTTGGAGGGCAAAGGGCCACACTTTATATTGCCCCTGCATCACCCAGTGTCTAGCCACATGCTGGGCACTTAGGATCTCTGGCAAAGTCCTTGCTGGCTGGCTGACGACAGACTTGGATGTGTTTACATAAAGCGCACTTGTGAGACACTGTATCTGCCAACAGCTAGAAACTGGTGTGTGGGAAGAGGGCTGGGGAGGGAAGAAGAGTATGTGAGATGCATGGCATGCAAAAAAGACAAGCTTTGATGGTGACAAATGGCATCTGAGAGGGTTGCTCTTGTCACCAATAATAATAATATCTGGCATTACTGCACATTTTCTATGTGTCAGGCACGGCGTGTCATGCTTTACATGTGAGCTCATTTAATTCTAATTACAGTCCAAGGCGGTGGCATTATTATTTGCTCTAGTTTACAGAAGGGGCATTAAGAGGCTTAGAATGGTAAATAAATTTGCTTAAGGCCTCAAGGAAGGTAAGCGTCAGGGTCAAGATTCATGTCCGAGCCCATGTGATTCCAGACTCCAAGCTCTTAACTCCCCTGCTGTGCTGCGCTGTGCTGATTACACTCCTGCTGCAACAAGAGAGGCTGAAGAAAATGTGATGTGGCCAGCCAAATGCCACACTGGTGATTTCCCAATGGTGTGATGAGGAATCACAGAACTTCTTTGTCCTTCCTTCGTGTGTGTGCGTGCGCGTGCACCCACGCACGCATGCGTGCTAAATAAAAGTGTGTCTTTGTCTGTGTCAGTTCTTGTAGAAGGGGAGAAACACAGGGGCAGACCCCACTAACTGTGTGAAATACAACGGCATTCGGAAGAGAACGCTGGGCAGGAGGTTTTTAAGGGAACATGGCCAAGGACCACTTACGGTGGTAGACATGAACTCAGAAAGTGTCTGGACTGTTCCTATGGGAAAAGGCAGATGGAAGATGGACTAATGGAAATATTCCAGTGCTCTGTGAGCCAATCAGTTATAGAGGTTTTGTCCTTCAAACAGAATTTGCCTCCGTTGGACAAATGGTGCCGGGTGGGCTAAAAAGGAAGATGGGGAAACGGCCTGGCCAGAGAGAAATAATTATCATGTGAGATACCTTAAAATGAGATTCTTCCTGAAACAGGAACGAGGGATTCTGGGTTATGCAGGGGAACTGGTAAGGGGAAGGCACTGAATGGAGCTTGGGTCTGATGAATTGACCCCTCCGCTGCAATTATGACACGCTTTCCCAGTGCCAGGCTGGCACTGAGGGCTTGAGATCCACAATCTCAGTACATACTGTGAAAGGTATGCAGATGGATGGAGAGGCCATTGGCTTGCCGGAAGCCCTTGCCACAGTCCCTGCAGACATAGGGCTTGTCCCCGGTGTGGGTCCTCACGTGGCGGGACAGCTCAATGGACTGGGCAAACACAGCATCACAGTATTGGCACGCATACATTTTCCCTGCAAATACACATGAGCTTATTAGAGTCAGCACTAAACATTTATGGCATTGCTACAAACAAAATCTAGTTCTACAGCACGTATCAGGGAAATATCATCTGGTAGATGACATTAAAACATCAGGCAGTCTGCAATACGCTGGGTGAGATCTGAGCCACCTCGTCACATGGCACCTCACAAACACAGCCGATCACACAGAAGGTGTGACTGTAGTTGGACAAAGGAATAAGGACGGAGTTCTCACTGTACAAGACAACCCATCTGTTCATCAGCCACCGCAAGTATGGAACCCAATACATCCCTGTGCCCGGAAATACGTGCGTTTGGATCCCTTTGCAACATATACAGTGTGGATTTGCAACTGCATACAAAGGTGAGCGACGTGCATTCAGAGAAGAATGAAAGCCTTCTTCCAGTCGCTTGCTCTAAAGTTATTACATATCCCTTGGTTTCTCTATTTTCATATGCACACAATGAGGATATAATGAACAGACTGCCAAAGATTATTAGAAAATGTGGCGAACTGGCATTTGCAGAAAATGCTAGACTAATTGAACCTCCAAGCTCCCTTACAGGCCAAGATAGGAAGCAGGGCAATCAGTGAGGCGAGGCTCCAGAACCCCAGATCCCAGGGTCCACCACAACTAAGGCAAGCAGCCTCATTTTCAGTGTTTATGTATTGGGCTGCAAAATAAGATTTTGTTAGGAAAAAAAAGGATTCCTTGAACGAAGAGGTGAAATTACTGAGGAGCCTGGGGCTTCGTCCTTGACGTTCTCAATCCTCAGTTTCTAGATGATCTTATCTCAGTTTCTTACACACCCTCTGTACTGGACGGCTCCCGTAGTATAGCTCCAGCTCCCACCTTTCCCCAGAACTCCGTATGTCCACCTCCCCATTGCTCTGCTCTCCACCTGATGTCTAGTAAGTATCTACAGTGTATCATACCCAAAACAGAGCTCCCAATGCTCTAACCCCACCACCCCCACAGCCACCACCCACACACGCTCCCACTCCCCCATCTCAGTAAATGGCAGCATCGTTCACTCAGTTGCTCATGGCAAAGCCCCAAAGCCTTTAGTTCCTTTCTTTCCCTCACATCCCCCACCCAATCCACCATGAGTCCTGTCACCTCCATTTCCAAAGATATATCCTAAAATGTGAACATTCTTTACACCCCCACTAACACAACTCTAGTTGAAAACAATATCACCTCTGTGCTGGACGGCTCTAACAGCGTTCCGTTTCCCTCTTGCCCTATTGTAGCTTATTGTCTGGAGTGGCCAGAATTAACTTTTGAAAATGTAAGTTAGATCCTACCATTCTCTGCTCAAAACCCTCCTATGGCTTCATATGGTAGGCAGGATGATGGCCCCTGAAGATGTCCAATTCCTAATTCCTGAAACTTGTGTATATGTTACCATATATGGCGAAAGGACTTTGTGAATGTGACTGAATTAAGGATCTTGTGATGGGGGTTGTCCTAGATTATCCAGATGGGCCCAATGTAATCACAAGGGTCCTCATAAGAGGGAGGAAGAGGCTGGGCATGGTGGCTCGTGCCTGTAATCCTAGCACTTTGGGAGGCTGAGGCGGGTGGATCACGAGGTCATAAGTTCAAGACCAGCCTGGCCAAGATGGTGAAACCCTGTCTTTACCAAAAATACAAAAATCAGCCAAATGTGGTGGCAGGTGCCTGTAATCCCAGCTACTCAGGAGGCTGAGGCAGAGAACTGCCTGAACCCGGGAGGCGAAGGTTGCAGTGAGCCAAGATTGCACCACTGCAGCACTCCAGCCTGGGCAACAGAGTGAGACTCCATCTCAAACAAAAAAGGGAGGAAGAAGAGTCAGAAAAGGAGGAATGGCGATGGAAGCAGAGGTTGCAGTGATGTGGCCAAGAGCCAGGGAATGTGGGCAACCTCTCGGGGCTGGAAAGGCAAGGAACAGGATCTCCCCTAAGCTGCCAGAAGGAAGGACTCTGCCGAAAGCTTGAATTTAGCCTCACGAGACCCATTCTGGATTGCTAACCTCATACATTTGGGTTGTTTTAGGCCACTATTTTTGGTAATTTGTTACAGCAGCAGGATAAACTAGATAAACACTTCACACAAAAAACAGAAGTCCTCGCCTTGGCTTCTAAGACCCTCCAACGTCCAGCCTCTGCTAGCACCTCTGGCTTACCTCCTAACACCCTTCCTCGTTGACTCTGCTTTAGCCCCTTCCAGTTTTCTGTGGTCTCTCATGCAGGTAAAGCTTGTTTTTACTGGGGAGGGGCCTCTGCACTTGAGGTGCTCTCCTTCTAGGTCTTCCACTGGCTCCATCTCTCACTTTGTTTAGGTTTCTCTGCAAATGCTATCTCGCAGAGGCCTTCTCTGATGATACAAATAGTGCCCCCAAGCTCTGTCCCATCACTGTGTACCCTGCTTTATGCTTCTTCATAGCAATGTGCTATCTAAATTTATACTATGTATTTGTTTACTGTCAGTTTTACCTAGTGGGAGATGTAAGCCCCATGAGAGGGGTACGTATATTTACAATACCCCACGCCTTGAAACCGTGCTCATGGAATTCATTCACTCAGCAAATACTGACTGAGGGCCTACTATTGCCAAGTACTAGCCTGAGTCCCACGGATACAGCAGTGAGAAAAGAAAGACTCACAGCTTGACCCTCACAACGCTGCATTCTAACAGGGAACACTAAGTATAAATGAAGTAACTTACTAAAGTAGATCCTGCATCATATAAGAAGCACTATGGGAGAAAAATACTGCATGGAAGCCAGGGGTGGGGTGCTGAGACCTTACAGAGGGTGATCAGGAAGGAACTCACAGAGAAGGTAAGTGTGAGTAAGGCCTCAAAGGAGGTGAGGAAGTGAAGCATGAGGTGTCTGAAGGGAAGCATCCCCAGCAAAGGGAAAGGTCAGAATAAAGGTCCTGGGGCAGGTGCCTGCAGGCCTGAGGTGTGGCCAGAAAGCTAAAATGGGCAGGCCTAAGAGACAAAGTCAGAGAGGAACCAGGAAACTTATTCACAGAGGGAGGGCCTGGGAGGCTATCTTAAGGACACTGGATCTCACAACTGAGTTGGACAAAAAGCCACTGTAGAGTTTGGAGCGGAGAAGTGACCTATATGGTGTAATTTTTTTTAAGTATCAAGAGGAATGGTGATAGCAAGACCAGCTTTGAGGCTACTGTGACAGTCCAGGTCAAACGACGGTTACATTCTAATTTATACAGAAATGCTCTAAACAATACATAGACTCCTCTACGAAGCCTTCCCTGACAATGTACCTCCTCCTCCCCTCCATCTGGACTACAGACTCCTTCTCCGTCCTTCCTCATCATGCTGGTGTTATTCTGCATCATATGGCTGACAAGCTGTAGTATAATGGGCACGGTACTCCCCTTCCCCCTTCAGGCCATAAGCTATGGAATACAGGAATCCCAGCTCAGCCCCTTGGCATCTCCCACTGCCCGATCCACAGTAGGTACTCAGTCAGGGTCTTTCTCATGCTTGAACTCAACCTCAAAGCTCAAAGAATTTTATGTAAATTCAAAAACCGCAATGACTTTTGCATGTTGTATTTGCAACCTAATACTGTCATAGGAGGTCAGCCAGCCTCTTTCAAAAACTCTCCCAGTAAGCAGTTTACACGTCTGTGCAGAGCTATTCCCAGTTGTCTGTTTGCCTAGAGATTGTGCATTGTTTTTAAAAATTTTTTTATTTTTAACTTTTGTGGGTACATAGTAGGTGTATATACTTATGAGGTACATGAGATGTTTTGATACAGGCATGCAATAAAAAAAAAATCACATCATAGAGAATGAGAGATCCATTCCCTTCAGCATTTACCCTCTGTGTTATAAACAATCTAAATTACACTGTTTATTTATTTAAAAATGTACGATTAAGTTATTATTGACTATAGTCTCCCTGTTGTGCTATCAAATGGCTTTGTTTGTAATTTGAGATATATAGCACACTTAATCCAAATGGGGTTTAGGCAGCTCACAGTGGAAGTCTGCGGGAGAAATGAAGAGCTGCGCCCCGCCTTACCTTCCGAGTGCTTCTTCTTGGTGTGATAGGCCAAGGCGGAGGCCTGGGTGAAGGTCATGAGGCAGTGCTTGCACATGAACGGGCGGTCTCCGGTGTGAAGGCGAAGGTGGTTCTTCAGGGTGGAATTGGCTGCAAACTTCGCCCCACACTCTTCACAGGAGAAAGGCTTCTCGTCAAAGTGCTCCGTCAGCTTGTGGTACTGCATGCCTAGGGAAGCCACGCATACCGGGGCCAGAAGGGATGCTACTAATCAGTGTATGAATCTAGCACAGGATGCCAAGAGCACTGTCTCAGGCCAGGCCTCCAGAGGAAGCACAGCACCAAGCCCAGGGTGCCAGGCCACGCTAGTGCCCACTGCACACATCCACGCTGCTCTTTTGCCCACCAGCTGGCATCCCCAAAGTCACCTGGCCTCACTCCTGGATGGACCTGGTAGAAAGTGAGGCTGGGCTTATCTCCCCCATTCCCCCTCTCTCTCTTAAAGAAGATCCAGCTACCCAGAACTAGGGAAACTCAACTCGCCTTCATGAGGTTTATCCAGATTCTTAGGATAAGGGAAAATCATTCTGACTATACATCCCATAATTTCCATGACTCGTTTGTTACCAAGAAACAGGTGGCACATGTAACACGAGCCAGGTATTAAGTAGCAAGCTATTACTGTAAACAATAAGAGGTATATGCTGTTGTGTGCTCGCTCTATTACAGCACAGCACTAGTGTTTAGCTCTGTTACCTTAAGTCTTCATAACAATCCAACAAAGTAAGTGGTATCAGGGTGCTGCTTTAACAGATTTGGGGAAATCAAAGCTCAGGGGGCTGATTCCAAAGCCCATGCTCTTCTCAAAATATTGCCCTGCCTCTGTAGGAACCTGCTCTATTTTCTAAGCCCACCCACCACCCTCATTGCATACAACTAGGGGCAAGGCCTGAAATCCAAACAATAAAACCCACAATTATCATCCTGCTACTCTGCCTTCTTGAATGTACCTGAGGCATGGGCAAATTCTCTCCCACAGAGGTCACATGTCACTGGAAGCCTCTTTTTCTTCTTCTTGGGGACGTCAGCCTCTCCGCCTGTACCATGGGCCTCCAGCTGATGTTTCTCCAGCTCCTTCTTAGAATCCTTGGTCTCGCTGCACTCCTTACACTGCACCTGTTTGCTCTTGGCCACGCGGCAGCGCTTCATGTGCACCTTCAGGCGGCAATAGAAATGGAAGCTTTTGTCACAGGCCTTACAGACAAAGCTCTTCTTGGCGGGGTCTGGGGAGGCAGAAGCCTCTTTCTCTTGCTGTCCTGGCAAGGAAGTAGTCTCTCCTTGATCGTTCTGTTCCCCAGGCCGGCTGTCTTCTTTGGCTGGCTTGGCTGCCTTTTCATCTTCTTTGTGGTTGGCTTCAAGGTGAAATTTATTACTCACCTTCCATGTTTCCTTCTCTCCATCTTCCTTAGTAAGGATACCTGCATAAGAGAGACATCTCATGGCTCTGGGAACTCTGTTTCCCTTTTCCTTTATACCTTTTCTAACACACTTCTTAAAGGAGACTAGAGACTACTTGAGATCCTCAAAAACACTCTGAAGTCATATCATTGTCCTCTTTACTTTCTAATAAACACAAAGAACATTTTCCTCTACGTCTCACAATTTTTTTAGGTATTGAGAACATAAAAAATGAATGTGTAACTTAAGGTTGTGATAAACTCTTACATGAACTTCTGCCTCTTTCTTCAGGAAACAACCTGGGGTCCTGCAGGAACCCCCTTCCTGCCCAGCCCATTCCTTACCAGTGTCTGCTAACTCCTGCATGACGGGCTGCAGGCCTGGGAAAGATTTGTGGACACTGCACAGGAGGTGGCATATTTCAATGGCCGAGACCGATCTTTCCACAGCTCTGCCCAGCACTGCTCTCACGGAAGCTTCAGGGCTGGCTGTCTCAGAGGAAATGCTCAGAATCTAAATGAATACCAGGAGACAAAGGTGTGGGGTTAATCTCAGCAGATTTTCTCCATGGTTTTCAACTTAAAAAAAAAAAAAAAGCTAATCCCAGGAAGGCATTGCTCCATTTATAAGCAGTTTATATATCGCCTTGTGATAAATGTGGTGGACAGCTCTGTTTGCCAAAGAACAAGAAAACTAACAAAGCAAAAAAGAGAAGCATGGATCCAGATAAATGTACAAATACAAAGATACATGCAGGGAAGCATAAAGCATTTTCTATAAGAAACAGCATCTCAGAAACTAGGAGTCTCCTGAAGACCTTTTCTGGATCTTAATATTAAAAGCTTGAAAAGCTATAGGATTTGGTCATTGGTGTGTCTGTCTTGAAAATCAGGATAAATTTTCATAATATGTAATTGTCTCAATGTCTGGAAGTAATTCTGCATGATCAGTGGCTTTGTATTTTTAGACACTTAGATGTACCCGTTTAAACGTCATTTTCTTTCACAAAGAAACTCAGCATTTTAAAGAAGGTTCAAATAGAAGCTTTAAAGAGGCCAAGAATATTATTTCAAAGCCATTGTCCTCTTTCAGAATGTTAGAGCTATCAGCAGAAAGAGTCGGTGCACTGAGAAAATAAAGCTAAACCATCCACAGATGGCCAAACGGAATTTTCATTTTGGAAGATATTTTATTTCTGCTCTTTTCAAGTCTATCTAAATAAACCTGATGTCCCTGGAGGCAGGCATGAGACTAATTAGTGAGGCTAAAACTGATCAACTGCAGAAGCCCCATCTCTGAAGTTGTGGTGTGCTGGAGAGAGTCTAGCAGATGAATCTTTCCTCTGAAGCCCCGCAGAAATGTGTGCCATCTTCTTCCCATCTGAGTCAGACCAACATGTGGCTGTCACCTGTATAGAGACAGTTAGAAGCCAGCCCTTCTGCACACCTTCCACACCTACCTGAATCAAAAGGGCACTACACTTGACTCTGTAGTTTAATTTCCTGTTCTTTTCTTGTTCTTCCCCACTCAAGATGCTCATGATCCTGCGCTAGACACCCATGAATTCCCCTAGTCCCCACCTGGTACTCCTGGGATGCTGGCCACATTGTGTGAAGCCTTACAGAAAATGAGCTGGCACTATTTGCTACCCCATATGGGCAAAAGCTTTGTTCTATCTATGTTTATCTTGGCTCTTTCTAGAAGCCAGAATAGAACATGTAATAAGACCAGTTTTACTTTCCTTCATCTGAGAGAAGCTGCTTCTTAGAACAGGTAAGAGAACATCATCATGACTCCAGGGGATACTAGGTTTAGACAAATGGAATAAATTGGTTTGAGTCATAGGAACCTGGGTTCAAATCCTTACGTCATCTCCTCCCTACCAGAGCATTTTAGATAGTAACTTAACCTCTTGGGGCCTGGGAACCCTTGTCTATAAAATGTAATAACATCACCCGTCATGTAGAGCCAGAAGGATTAAAAATGCAAATGTGTTAGTAAGCATTAGCTTACCATGAGGCACAGACATTCGTTCCAGCCAGGCATGGTGGCTCACGCCTGTAAACCCAGCACTTTGGGGAGGCTGAGACAGGTGAATCGCTTGAAGCCAGAAGTTCGAGACCAGCCTGGCCAACATGGTGAAACCCCATCACTACTAAAAATACAAAAAATTAGCTGGGCATGAGGATGTGTGCCTGTAATCCCAGCTACTCGGGAGGCTGGGGCAGAACTGCTTGAACCCAGGAGGCGGAGGTTGCATTGAGCCAAGACTGCACCACTGCACTGAAGCCTGGGTAGCAAAACAAGACCCTGTCTCGAAAAAAAGAAGGAAAAAAAAACCCAATGAGATGTTGGTTCCTCCCTCAGGAATGAAGACAGTCCCAGGCAACAACTGTAAAACTCTCCGGCATTCTGCTTTTCGTGCCCACCACACCTCTTTCAGAGTCTCTGCCAGGCGCTCCTCCTCTGAGGTACAGAACCTGCACTCAATCTTCTGTTGGATGGCCTCCAAGATCAATTGGTTATGCCTCAGGAGTGTTTCCAAAGTGGCGCGTTCTGGGGTGGTCACTGAAACAAACAGGGATCAGAAACTCGTTAGTCAAACAATGAGTACCATTTTTCCTTCACCCTTCCTCCACTCAACTCTTCACAATGAAAACGCATTTCCCTTATCTCCTATCTGAGGCTGGCAGTGGGGAAAATGGCAAACAGCACTGTAATCAGAGTATAATAATCAGGTAAGCTTAAGATAATTACAGCATCTACTTTTTAAAAGGTTTACAAACTCTCGTGTCCTTGAACTAAACTGCCAGTCGTCACTTCTAACGGTAGGGATGTGGGTGACTACTGCAGGAGAGCTCTTCCTACTTTCTAGGAAGACTGACAGTAATCTCTAATGAGGAAAACTCCTCCCAGAGGTCAGGTAACTTACCTGCCCGGAAGAAAGCACCGGCACCGGGCTCCCTTCCTATTTCCTCCATGAGCAGGTCCAGTGAACAGGGCTTTGTCTCCTGAACCACCAGCAGCAGCTGCCAAACGGCTGTGGCAGAGAGTGTCTGCTTTTCCAGAACCGCTGATATCAGGGAACTGAAACCACCTGAACCAGAGTCACGTTTCACAAGCTTCTCCATGACCTTCAAGATGGGGCACAAACACGCACGTAAGAGACTCTCTAGCCACTGGCCCCGCTGCAGAGCTGTAAGTCTAGGTATTGGGTTACAGTGAACATATGTTGGGGAAGGAGTTTTTCAACATCCTTCACCTCTCTCAATCTGAGAGGTTTCTTACACATGACAAAGACAAAGTTCTTCATTTCTCCTTTTGAATGCCTTTCCTTATTACCACAGAAATTAGAACTCCACGTTAGAAACTGAGTTATCTTCTATTTCTCCTCTACTTAGCAATTCTCAGAATGGCTACATATGTATATTTACAGAAAATATAAATATGTGTGTGTGTGTGTGTGTGTGTGTATATATATATTCATATTTTTTCCTTCTTTCTCATTTTACCCTCCCCTTCATCTGTTTCTCTCCCTCTCTTACCTCTCTTTCTCCAGGGGCTAAACTTGTCATGTGTGAGATCATCTTTAATAATATCTGGTTGTCTGTGAAAATCTCAGAGAGGTTTTCATGATAGCGTCTCAACAGCTCAGTCCCATAATCATCAGGGCTTGGTTGGACTGTAAAGATATTAGGAAAACAACGATATTTGCTGCAACAAAACCTCCTGCAGAAGACTCCAGGATGTTACAAATCAGAGAGGAAGAGTGATCAGCACAAGACCTCAGTGTCCTCTGCAGAGCCCTGGCTTGGGGCCTCATACACATATGTTCAGAGCTCCTCTGCCTACGCTTCATCGCTTGGTGCTTCAGGGTCACAAAACCATTAACACTTTGAAAGACAGTGCCTGGTGGTAGGAGCCAGCAATTGCTCACCGGGGGTGTAATTAGAAGGCTGTACTTATAAGAGACTCAGATGTGCAGATTCAAGGGGGGGGGTGTCTGTCAAGCCTGAGGGAGAGGATCCGTGTGGCGATCCTAAAGACAAACACGAATCAAGGTTCTGCATGTGAAGCTGACCTGTGGTTTTTCTATTTAGGTGCCCGTTGAGCCAATTTCTTAGGTTCTCTCTTCCAAGAGGTCATATTTACTGGAAAGTTAAGAAAAATCAAAACTATCAGGCATTTCTCTCAGCTTTGCAGATATTTAAAAATGTACTCCCTTCTTTATCCCAGTAACTCCACCTCTGGAAATGCAGCCTTAAGAAATTATCTGAAGGTCTTTGTCTATGTACAAATTGTCAACGCACAGTCTGTGCTGATAATGACAGTGAAAGCAACAACAACTAATGCTTACTGAGTGCCCATGTGTCGGGCACGGTGCGAAATGTTTTACATGGATTATACCCGCCACAAAAACGTATGTGATAGGTACCACTCTTACCCCATTGCACACAGAAAATGAGGCTCAGAAAGGTTAAGTCACTTGCTCAGGGTACTTCAGCTACAGAATGCACTCAGGTTGCAGTCCCAGGGAGTCTGACGCTAATGCCTGCAGTCCTAACCATTATGTTCCATCTGCTCTGAAATAAGGGCACGAATAATACACCATATACATCCTTATGATGGAAAACTATACAGACTTCAAAAACTAGGATTGTGGGGAGATTTTCTGAACTATAGAAAAGAATGCTGCTGCAATGTTACATGGGGGAACCATACAATTATATAATATGATAGTATCTCAATATTATAAAAATGATAGATCAAATATGTCAAGGTGTTAATATTGACATACTTGAGTGGCAAGATTTTAAATGGTTTTCTTCTTTATATTTGGAATTGTCCAAGTTTGTACAAGTACATACTACCTTTATAGGCTAGGAACAAATATCCTTTTTCTGAAAACCATCTGAGGCCTAAATGCTCTAGGATAGGAAAGAGTTGGTTTGAGTTGGAATGTCTTTCTAAGGAATAGGATATGGACGCATTTCCCCAAGCTGAGCAGACACAAGAGTGAGTTCTGTGGACTGCTGGAAGCAAAGAGCACTCTGGCAGAAAAGTGGCGATTGGGATTTGAGGCTTTGCCGCTCCTATTTGTGAATAGAGTTGACAGGATGCTGAGCCTCATGAGCACATTTGCTCCTCTGGCTTTCACAGATGATCCTGGACAGCCCTGGGAAAGCCACATGTTAATAAATCCTGAGCCACAGGAACACCATGACGGAGCTTAACCGAGAAGAGTCACTCTCAGATTTCAGATCTTAACTCCAGAGATATTGGGAATTATCGATTGATGACAGCTAGTTTCTACTCTGCAGTGACATTTCTTAACATTATCTTATCTCCCCAGCATGGAGCCAAAAGGGTGTTTCAAGCTATAATAATTTTCTGGAAGAGTGGTTTCAGTCCAGAGAGTCGATGATTAACTAATACCTGTGGCGCTTGGCAAAGTGGCTAATTTCTCCAACTTCTCTAGCAGAAGGCCCAGGTTTGGGAAAGTCATCTTCACAGCCTGGAGGAGTTTTACCAAACTCTCAGCAGTCAGGGTCTTCTCTTCAGTCATTCTGTGCAACAAATCTTCTATTGTCTCCTTGGGTGTTCTGTCCTCACAGCAATTCAGAATCACCTGCAGTGGCAAGCAATCAACCAGATACCAGTTACTGGCAATTCAGCACTGATCTGACACACTACTGGAAAACCTAGCGAGACGGCATCACAAGGTGCCCCATCTCCAAGTCCTCCTCTGTTGATCTCCAGCATCATTTTTTTTTCATAGTTTCTTCCTTATTCTGTTACGATAGAAATCTAAAATAATCTCCAAACGAGTAACTGTGAGAATCTTTCTTTCTCAATTGCAGGTCTGTGTATCTGCTCTGCCTCCAATGGCTTGTATTTTGTGAAAATATTCTTAAACCAGGCCTGTATGATGCAGCCAGTAGCCTATCTCTAACCTGGTTCTTTAGCTGTGGCTTGTTTGGACACTGAGATTGAGAAACACAGATTGAAATTAATATAGTTTCATGTTTTTTGATCTTTTAGTAAAGTTCACAATATTAGCATAGGTTATAATTTCAGAGCAACTATATTGTTTTACTTTATTTGTATAGTGATCTGAATACTCAGATAATTTGTACATTAGGTCTGTGGACTCCAAAATAATAGATTTAAAGTGCCTTTCTGGATTATTTTCTTGTGAATTCTTTATTATCCATTCCTCTCATTCTCAACAGCCACACACATCAGCTCCAGTTATAATTTAACAATTCCGCTCCTTTGTCCTTCCTTGGTATGTTAGAGGATTTTGAGTCAAAAGGGCATAGAACTTTAGCAAAAGGATGAAAATAAAACACGTGACAGATATTTTACCGATATTTTTATATTACAATAGAACCATTTCTTAATGGACTATGGCATCATATGCATAACTTAGCTCTTATGGAACTGATAAAGCAGGGGATTATTTCAATACGCGTAATCTACAGATTCACAGGAGCTGAATTTTGAGCTTTCCTTTGGGAAAATGCCAGCTCCTAGTCATGGTAGTATGCCAGAGGCCGCCATTATCAAATTAACTTCCATTTTAAAATAATGAATTTAGCTTTAAAACCAAATTGGTTTTATATATATGAAAGGAATATATATATATATATAATAAATCAAGTTGTTATATTCTTTGTCAGTACAGAACATAGTCCTTCTCTTTAAGGTCTAATATACAGTAGGTATCTACTAAATAAATCATAAGTTAAAAACTAAGAGCTTGTATCTAAACACCATACTGATTTCAGAGCTAAATCTTGGTTCCTAAGCAATAATCTGACACATAAAGAGGCAGCCAGATACCAGTAAGAGTAAGTATAGGCTTTAAGGCCAGACAGACCTAGTTCAAATTGCAATTCTACTATTTATTGCCTGTGTGACCTTGGGCAAGTTATTTAACTCTTCAAGCCTTATTTTCCTCACTTGCAAAAGATAACAATACCAACTCTTGCACAGTTGTTCGGAGGATTCTGTAAAATGAAGGTGCTGTTTGTATAGCCTTGCCTAACTCCTAGAACATATGTGATCTTTAAGAAATGACAGCGTTACTGATACCATTAGGGAGAAATACACATAGGGGTTAAGAGAATGTGCTTTGATTAGAAGTCTGGTTCCTAGTACTGGCCCCAAACAGCTGTGTCTTTGGGTGAGCTGCTCCACCTCCCTAGGCTCTGTTTCTTCATCTTTAAAATACAGGTAGTATCCATGACATCATAAAGTTGCTGTGAGGGTGAAACATTTAAAAAGTCCTCAGCATGTTGCCTGGCACACAGTAAGCAATAAATAAATGACAGCTACAGTAATCGCCCCTTTTTTTCTGTTTCCAGTCCTGATGTAAATATGTTCCTAGTTACTGCTTCTTACAAAACCCAACATACTTATAAAGGCCATGGCATCCATTGTTAGCACACTTTCTTAACAGAAAAAAAGTTCAAAAAGGCCTGGTACACATTTCACACGATGTCAAAATACTGTGGCTATTCAATCAACATTCACTTCTCTACTCCCACTTTATCAGGCTGCTTCAGCTTTCACGAGAAGGAATCGGTTAATGAAGCTCTGGTGGACCCCCAATCTTAAGAAGTGTTTTTGTGATTTATAACTAATTTAAGCTCTTCTGCTTCAGCTTTCTCTGTCAAGTAAACTGAAAGTGACAGTAGAAAATGACAGTGTGGTCTATCTTGCTGCAGAGAATGAGGCTGAGTTTGGACTCTATCTATAAATGCTGTTTTACCAAGATAATGAAACAGTTCAAAGGACACATTCAATCTAGCTAATAAGGAAAAGGTTTGAATGAGTAATTGAATGAAATAATAAAGAGGGAATCGGGAACTTCTAGAGCTATAAGCAACTTACTTAAATTGAGTGCCAGAAATTACACTTAATTTGAAGACTAAGGGGAAAAAACAGAAGTTTAATCTTTGTATATTTTCTTTCTTGAAGAAGTTCAAAGGACTTAAAAATTTAAAAACAATTAATTCATAAAATGTAATTTTGAGATTAAAGGTTGTTCCCATTGCGTGTGTGCGTGCACACATGTGCGATATAACATCATCGAAAAAAATAAAATCAAGAATCTAGTCCTCACTGTAAATTCAGTGCTTAGCCATTATACCAGTGGTTTCTAAACGTTTTCTCTCCTCAACACTGAAGTCACTTCCCACAGTTTCAGGAATTGATGCCACAAAAGTACTCTATCCCTATTCCTTCTTTCCAGATATAAAAATATTTTTAGCACAAAGTTGAAATCAATAACACCAACAAACATAGTTATCTACTTGCCTCGAGAAGTCATGCCAGCAGTTTTATGAGGATTTTAGTAGCTAGCTGGTGGGAGAGTAAATTGGTGCAACCTTCCTGAAGGGCAATTTGGCAACATGTATCAAACACTTGAAAATTTTTATACTCTTGATTTCAAAATTCCACTTCTTAGAAATTCTTGGAAATTATACTAAGGGAATAATTTAAGAGGTATGCAAAGATTTGTGTGCAAGAGTGTTCCTCACAACATCACTTATAATAGCCAAAAAAAATGGACACAAATGCTCAATGATAAAAGAATTAATTATGGTATGTCCATTAGACAGGATACAAAATCCATATTATAGGTATAGACATGTATTCACGTATCAGGTAAAAAGCCAAGTTAGAAAACCATATGTTCTGTATAACCCCACCCTGGGATGACTCAAATGAGAAAGAAGGGGAACACAGGCTTCAACATGTTAGCAGTGTCATCTCTGAAATTAGAATTTTTTAATTTTTGATTGTTTTCCCAATTTTCTACATACTTCAAATATACAGTACAGCACATTTCTATAAAGGGGAAAGTGCCATAATAATTACAAATTGCCTCAACATTTGAACTCTTGATACAGTTGTTTACAGTAAAAACTGATTGAGTCAGAGCAGGAATAGCATCCGTCCATCCATCCATCCACGTACCCACACGTTCATCAGTCCATCCACCCGCCCACCCACCCACACATTCATCCATACATCCATTTCCCATATGGCTCTGCGTGCAATGCCCTCAGTAAGCTGCTTCGAGGAATGCAATGGGACATGAAACAAGCACCTCAGTTTCAAGGTGCTTACTATGCAGTATGTATTAAAATACTGCAAAGTATAAAGTGAATGTGCCACAAAATAATTTTTGAATTCAGAAGGAGGGAGGAGACGCTTGACACAGTTACCCTTTTTTCAGTGCCAGTCAGGAATTCCTCCTTGGCTGTTTCGAGGAACTCCATAATAGGCTTCAGCTGTGTTACACACTGTATCAGGTCCTCTTTGTGTTCTAGTAACAGAACAGACAAGGTCTTTCCCTCCTCTGTGCTCCCTGGGGGAGAAAGAGTTAGAGACACATAAGAGAAGTTAGTCAATTTGAAGAAAATGACAGCATGGTTTGTCAAGAGAGATCTAACAGAATAGTAAAGTGATTTTCAGCTTATTCTGAGCACCTGAATGCAGAATCTCTTTTACAGAGGAAAATACTTTATTATTCTGTTTAAACTCTATGAAAGGAAAAATGTTTCATTTATCTGTCGAAACACAAAGCTGCAGAGCCAGCCAGAGGTTAACTTCTGGTTGGCAAGGCCACTGCTTTGTGCCTAACCCAAATGAGAGAAACCTCAGCCTTTAAGTGCTGTCAGCGAACCAGTACACCCTGGGCACTCAAGTCATTGATTTGGATGCGTGGCTTTTTGAAGGACAGGAGAACATGGATGATATTCTCCAACTTCAAGGTGTCAGACTAGTTAACTGTGGGATAGAAATGGAGACTCAAATTTAGTTGGTATATATTTAACATGCAGCTTCTGGAATTAAATATGAAACTTATGTGAAAACCACTTAATAACTAAGCCACCAAAGAAATGTATCATTGGAACGAACTTTATAGCATCATCCCAAAATAAAATCCCGCCATTCCAATGGATAGGATCTTCTCCTACCTTTTGGCTGCACTGCGTCTACATCTTCTGGCTTCCTGTCTAATAGTGCTGTTTTTACTGCAGGATTAGAATCTTGGTACAGCCTCAACAGGGACACGACCGTCTGAACATCCAGGCTCTCCTCTCTTACTTTACCCAGGATTCTCTGGAATGCTGAATGTTCTCCTCCACCCTCCAGACATTTCACTATAGTCTATGGAACAAAAGGACCCAGAAAGATAGATAAGCAAACCACAAGAACCACCGCTCCTTGCATTTGGCAAACAAGGCCCTCAACAGTTTGATTCCCGCCTGCTTCTCCTGCAGCTCCTCACCCACTGCGCTTTCTTCCCGGGTGGCAGTTCCAACAAGCCCTGCGGCCCCACGCTCCTACCCCATCTTCTGGAGGACTCCAATTCCACGACTCCATGCACTAACCTTGCTCAGGGGCTTCCTCTGCTGGGAGGCCTTTCCCGGCCATGGGCCCTACCTCCTCTTCACTGCTTTTAATTGGACATTTTTCACACTATAACTATTCTTTTTTCTCCAACTAGACTTCTTAAAGACAGGGATAATGCTTTCTAGGGCTCTGTATGCCTAGCAAATAGCATAGCCTGGCACACAGTAGGGGCTCAGTGAACTTTTAACAAACTTAATGTACTTTTTACCTAATTATACCTTTCTGAATCTTATGGCATTTTAAGCATTTCATTGGCAAGGATGTCTGAATTTAAATTTAATGAACTGTCATTTTATTATTTGAGAATGCAATTAAAATCTCACAATTTAGGAAAAAAGAATACCTTAATCATTTACATTATAAATGACAGACTATTTAAAAAGACATGGGCCTTATTAATTTTAGATATAGTCTGTAACAATTAAGGCTAACAATGTGTTGGCTTGTAGTTGCCAGCTGTAAGAACACATGACTCACATGTTAATTATCCCACGTGAATGACTGCTTTCAGCCTGAAGGGGCTTCGCAGTCTCTTCCCCTAACCAACATTTATATAATGAGCGTTGCCTCTGGCTTTGTGCCACTTGACCTTTCGGTGGCATTTGGCAGCATTTCTGTATCACAATTCTCTTCTGATTTCAGCAGCACTGAAGCATTTGGGATAAGAACTTGCCTTCCTGACCACTCCCGTTCAGCCTTTCCCACTGGTTCTTCTTCTAAATCTATAACCATTAACAGCACCTAAGACTGGTCTCAATCCTTTATTTTTTTTCTCCTTTTATATTCTCCCTTTTGAAAAGCTCTCACATATCTAGCTTTAACTGTCACCTTTATGCAAACTACTCTGAAGAGCAGCTCTAATCCTGCGCCCTTTCAACCCAGAGCTGCCACACACTTTCCGCTGTACACACCTTATCCTCCAGAGGGCTCAGGGGTGCATACAAAACCAAACTCATCATCTTGACTCTTCTAGACCCTTCCAAGACATCAACAACCCCAGCGGTAAAATAAACAAAATTAGCATTCCTTTCTTTGGTCTGACAGAACATCTTTCATGCAAATGCCAGGAAGGTCAATTGGAAGGTAGGATTGATATTTCTATTTTAGCAATAATGAATTTACTTGAAAAAAATCTAGTAACCAAAACTGAGTTTCACGGCTTTATACTACAATCTACCTTTGATGTTTTTAGTGTCAAGATTATAAAATAGAAAGTTTTTCTAACAAGCATCTTTAGAGAGCAAAAGGTTAGTTTTCTACACATCGACACATCTCCCCACCACATTGAAGGAGCTCATGAAGACTGTATCAACACAGCAAAATTTAGCTAGCCAGCGGGCATTACAAATTCTGATAGTAATTATATGTTTAAGATTTTTATTTAGAGAGATTTTCTCTTTCTCCTCTCCTCCCAAATAGGAGCTATAAATGAGTTAGACCTTGTGTTTCTTGGCTTTGCTTTAGCTTGCTTCCTAATCACAGAATGCCTGTATAAAGAAAGCTAAATTAAACTTTAAAGTTTCCTGTGTTTTTTGGTCATCTCCAAAAGTAGACATAGACAGAACACACTTTAATAATCCATATCAGCATACCATTAGCGTAAGTAACTTCTGAGAACCTAAGGTAACTCCTCTTCTACTTAAAAAATAATAAATAAGAAATGAAGACATCAGTTGAATGCTTAATCCCCTTTGGCTAAACTAAATCAACTTTTCATGCTTTTGTTAGTTGGCTTGAAATCTCTTTAAAATGCCTTTTCACTGACAGCAGTAGGGACCCCAAGGCAGGCAGCCTCTAAAATGGATCCCAATGATACCTGACTCTGGATATTCATGCCCTTGGATTGAACCTCATGACTTGCTTCTGAGAGAGAATATGGTAAAAGTTACAGGATGCTACTTGTGAGGTCAGGCTGGCATGACTTCCATCTTGCCTGTGTGTTCTCTCTCTGCCCTTGCTCTGGGAGATGCAAGCTGCCATGTTGTGAGCTGCCCTACGGAGGGGCCCATGTGGCCAAGAACTGATGTCTCCAGCCAACAGTCAGGGAGTAAGCTTGGAAGTGGATCTTCTGAAGCCTGCCAACAGCCATGAGAGTGGGCTTAGAAAAACCTACTCCCCCGGCTGAGCCTTGAGATGTGGCCCTGGCTGACACCTTGACTGCAGCCTGTGAGCTGCTAAGCCAGAAGACTCAGCTAAGCTGTACCTGGATTCCTGACCTACAGGAACTGTGGTAATAAATGTTTGCTCTTTGAAACTGCTAAGTTCTAGAGCGATTTGTGATACAGCAATGGATAATGAATACAGAGCCACTTGCTGCTAATTGCCTCAGTAAACATGTTTCTTCCTATTTTCCCTTTCCTTCCTGCCTGCCTTTTGTGCATCTCAATTGATACAGCATACAGCTCTCTCATTCTAGCCTAGGCCAGGCCTTTTTTTTCCACCTGAAACTCCCGAATATCCCAAATCCACATCTCTCTGGCATTATCATTTGAGCCAGTGGGGAAGACAAGCTTTCATCAGCGGTGGCGTTTGATACGCTTCTCATTATCCTCTCTGCTGTCTCCCTCTCTGCAGAACTACTCATCAGTGAAATTAAAACATTTGTTCACTTCATTGCTCAACAGTGATGCTAGGGTTGACCATCTGGGAAGAGAACCACGGGAAGGCTGACAAAAGGGCCAGGAGAGGGCGGTTGGCTGCCTAGACAGCCCTGCTGTCTCTGCGTTTTCTTTCAGAACCTACTGGGGACCTCCACCAATGCCAGCACTGTTATAACAGTTACTCCATCAGCCCCCTAAAGCTGCCTAGGGCTCCACAATGGAATAAGCAAGCCCTTAGCTGCAACAGTTTCTCTGCCTAAACAGAAGGGTGTCACATATTAGGATAACCAGGGATTCACCAATTACTACCATGTAACACAACTCCAAAAGCTGAACCAAAACAGAGTTCTGCTGAAAGGGCTAAGTTCTTTAACCATACATTTGGAACTAACTCTTGACTCTCAGGGTTAAAGGTACTTCAACAAATTCATGTTAATGCATGGTCACAGAAGTAATCAAGTACTTTACCTATGAGTGAAATATAGGTAAATATATTTCAAGAGGAGACCATTTATTTTCCCTCTATAGGTGAAAAACCATTTAACCTTTCCCTTACCTCAAGCCTTTTAACTGAGTTTACTTATTTACCCCAATTGTTTGCCTACTACCTTCAGCTCTGTTTGAGTGACACTATATTCCTGTTCACTCGGGCCTCCCTTGACTGCCGAGGGCTGGCTGATGGCAATAATGATAGAGACTACAGTCGCTCAGCACCATCCGGACACCGTGCCATCTACCTTCCTCCTCGCACCAGGCCTGGGAGGCGTCACTACTACTACTTTAGATGAGCTTCAGGGAGGTGAAGTAACTTGCCTAAGGTCACAGGTCTAGTAAGCAGAGCGGCTGGATGAAACACTGTCATTCCATAGGCCTTTCACCTAGCTCTACGTCCCAGATTTAAGCATAATCAAATCTATTTACACTGGATTCTATTAGACTTATCAGAATCAATAACGCTTTCGAACACTGTATGTAGACAATCTATATCAATTTTCTTGGTCTCAATGAATATAAAGACTGGTGCATAGTAGATGCTCAATAAATATTTAACTAAATGAAATTCCCTTGCCATAAAACCATTAGCTCTTCTATGTATGGCTACATATCTTAGGCCTAATGATTAACAGAAAGAAGACTTGGGAAAACAACTTATTTTCACCTTTCATAGACCTGTAAAATGAATCTCCTTAATTCCCTCTCAAGAGGGCAACACAACCCTGTCAGTGAACAGAGCCCTCAAAACACAGACCTGCACTATTTGACAAACCTCCAAAGTAGCGACACGGCTGAAAACATCAGATTCACATAGGAGAAGAGACTCGTTTGCCTTTGAAATAAAGTTGAAGGAGAAAAAAATGCTACTAGATCTTCAGCTTTGGGAGTCTTTCTAGATTGTTAGGTGAAGAGTGGATCAAAAGGCACAGAAATCAATAGTAGATAGTTATCTCCTTATTCTAGTTGCAGACCCACTTTGCTGTCTTCACAATTAATTAAAAGCAGAGACACAGCTAGGAATAAAGAAGGAAGACAATTCCAGCCTTCATCTTTCTCCCGTGCTGGATGCTTCGTGCCACTGAACAACAGACTCCAAGTTCTTCAGCTTTTGGACTCTTGGACTTACACCAGTGGTTTGCCAAGGGCGCTCTGGCCTTTAGCAAAAGACTGAAGGCTGAACTGTCGGCTTCCTTACTTTTGAGGTTTTGGGACTTGGACTGACCTGCCACTGGCTTCCATGCTTCTCAGTGTGCAGACGACCTATCATAGGACTTTACCTTGTGGGTGTGTGCCACCTACCACGCCTTTGACCACTTTCTGTTGAATTGCACCCAAAGTTAGAGCAGCTGCTGCCATTTCTGTCACCGTGAGGGCAAGCCTTTCTGAGAGTGGAGGTCACAAAGGGGAAGCATTGGGGAGAAAGAACCCAGGTCCTGTTGATGGTGTTGCCATACCTGTAGCCAGCCGTGGCCAGAGCTATCTCTCTTCCAAACTATGAAGTCACAGGAGCCAACAAGTTCACTTTTTGCGTAAGCCAGTTTGGACCAGTAGATTGCACACAGAAGGCACTCAAAGGAATCCCAGAAGCCCAGCAATGGAAAGAGCCTCACAATTCAGCTGGCTTTGCGTTCCTTGTGGTACATGAATGTGTTTATAACG